TTTTTTTTTTTTTTTTTTTTTCCTTTTTAATTTGTTCTTTGGCCCTCATTTATTTTAAAAAGCCTTTCTTTTCTTCTAAAGCATCTGTCTTGGAGACCTGTTGTCTTCAAAAAGTTTTTAGCTGGAAATTTAAAAAAAAAATAAAAAGAAAAAAGAAAAAAAAAATTGTTTTTTTGCTTCCCCCCGAGTTCTGTTCCTTTTGAGCGAATTAACTCAACTTAGAACTGGTTAGAAACTTTTACTGTGAATCCAACTTTTTATCAATCCAGGAGAAACTCTCTTCTCCACTTTACAATTGATGAAGACTGCCAAAGCTGGTTTGACATCAAGTCACATTAACGCACTGCTGGTTTGTACAATGGAAGCCTCGAGCCAGGGGCTGGTTTAAAAAAAAAAAAACACAAAAAAACAAAAAATAAAAACAAAAAAATATTAAAAAAACAAGCACTTTACTGTATGTACCAGGTGACCTGATACAGCTCAATCGAAGTTTTCCTTTATAACAATTGTTGATGCCAGAATTTTGTATTCTGTTTTGTAAGAATTTAATAAATGCGTTGAAACCTACCAGAGCACTGTTGTCGGGCTGGCTTTTTGATGCGTGGTTTGTGCTACTCGAGCGCCTTAAATGCCTCCTCGCAGCCTAGGACTTTGCTGCGCCAGGCACTGTACGAACAGAGCGAGTCCCTCCTCCAAGGAGCTCGCTGCACCACCACCTTTCTCTCTGTTAAAAAAATATCCCTAGAAAAATGTGCTGGTGGCAAGGATATTCACAGCTGTCTCTCTATAGTTAAGCATCTAAATCCATGTGCAGGAGGAGGGCTTAGTGATGCGATGGCCTGCAGTTGGTTGCACAGGGCTCAAAGTACAAGTCTGTACAGCTCATTAAAGAACCGAGTTTTGTACCAGGGTCTGCAGCAGAGTCCCGTCCACCCTGGGGGGGCGCGCTTCTGCTGGCCGAGCTCTGCTCTCATCCCACTTAAGAGCCTTGTATATTCTGAATCTGAATATCAAAGACAAATGTCCCAGTTTCTTCCTTTCCCTGCTTCTGCGCTGATTCTTGAAATCTGTGGGAGTTGTAGCTGCTTGGGTCTTTCTGAAAATCGATTTTCCTAAGCGATCGACTGGGCTATTTGCCTGGCCAGTGGGAGACTCCTTGTAGAGGTTCTGATTTTTCTTTCAGTGGGTGGCTGCGCAGCATTTGTGTAAACCCGATTCCCTTTGCAGGTTCAATCATGGGTATCTCTTGTCTGTGAGTGACGGCGCATAAATAAGAATGGGCCTAAATATGGATCTTGGGTGTCAGCTTAACTTAGATGCCCAGGTTTGCTGTCTAAATCACTCCTCCGAAGGCCAATAGTCATAAAAGTGTGGTTTAGGTGAGAGGATGTGTGGCATCCTAACGACTGGCACTTCCAGCACCTACTGCCATATAACGCTTGCCTGCTGCTGTGCAGTGCATTGTGTGTACGTGCCCCCTTACCACCATGCCTTTTATATTAGTCCCTCACTCGGGCATTCTGTATTTTCCTACTGGCTTTGTCATCTTTTTGG